TTAAAACTACTCTTTTCCAATTTACCCACCACTACTCACATCAGTTCCCTGTCCAAATAAACACTAGAAAGCCAGGAACCTGATTAAATCTCCAAATGAATGTTTCCTGAACTTGTCAGAGCTGGTGCTCTGACCTCCTATTCTTAGATCCAGACCTTTTGCTCTGACAATTCACTTAGATTTCTTATCTCCCAATTCAGGACCACACATGTCAAATTACACCATAGAAGATGGCGATAACGTTCAACTGCAGCTAGGAAAAAAAGCCTTATAGTATAACCGGGCTTTAGAGAAGCCTTGGAAACATCTCCCAACTGTAACACAGTAGTGTGGCCTTTCTCCCACTACATGCAGCAGATGCATCCTGTTAATGGATTGTAGATTGGGCTCACAGGCTGACCCAGGAGGTCACAGAGCTGACAAGAGGCATGACGTTGCTCTGCGAAAGAATGAGATCCAAGCCAGCTTACCAGAGAGCACAAAGCAACAGCCAACACCATAAGCCCTTGCTAACTAAGATTTCACAGGTACGATTACACTGGGAAAGTTTTTTGGTCAAGAGACGTCATCGCCTCAGGTCTTAAAGCCAGTTTGGTAAGAAAGACTTGTTCTGGGATTTGTCCTCCCAATACGAATTTCTTCCAGTATGAAAGGACAGGCCTTCCACCACAGCGGGGGGGCAAACCAGGATGCTGATGTTTGTACAATAACAGCACACATTAGTAAGTGACACATGCTACCTTTATTGTAATTTCAAAGCCTGAGACCTCAAGGCTTTATATTACACAATACTACTTTCCTGACATTAAAAATTGAGCACAGAGCACAATGCACTGGGAACAAAATCAAGTTTGCAGACAAATAATACTACCAAGGATATAATCCAAGGCATACTCTTTAATTTCCTTGGGCAATACTTCATTTTGGTTATAGCACTGGTATAGTCCTCCTTCCCAGTATAATTTAAAACTGCCAGTGTAGTGTAGTTGATTTAACAGCATATACTGTAGAGCTCAAGTACGCATCTCAGAGCATGATGCAGCTTTAACATTTTCTGCTATCAGAACCTGCTCCCAGTCCTGGATTGTCACAGTATAGCTGACTGGACTCAAGCACCTCCGCTTTCCAAACTACGTAGTGCACATCCACTCATCCCCCAAGTAAAAGCAGTAGAAACTTAAGGCTGCATGTCAGTACAACAAAAAACTAATTTTCTTGCTAATGATGTTCTTTTCTGCTCTCTATCTAGAGATACCGATCTGCCAAAACTAATTTATTTAAGGGGCTGGTCCTGACATTGGTGATGTCAGTGAGATAGGGTCAAATCCTGAATACTCAAGGCAAAGTGGGGGCAAACAAACCCCAAGCCACCACATTTAATGCCTGCCTTTAGACATTGTTTTTTTTTTTTTTTCCAAATGTCTCACTTATCTTCCCTATACAGTGACCTAATGGTAAGGATAAGCAAAGGAGCTGCCCCTCTGCTAGTCTCTTCCCTCTACAATTATACAGGAGACTGCCCCTTACAGCAGGAGTTTTGTGAAACGGAGTAGCTGGAAAGACCACGCTCTAGTGTCTCTAATTCGTTATGAGCAAAAAGTGAAGGGACCTTCCAACACAAATCCAGCACAGATGCTGCAAACTCATGCTACTACTTAGTCTGGGTCATGATGCCTCCAGCTTTATTCCAAAACTTATGTGAAAACCTGAAACCACTTAAGGATAGAACAATAACATCTAAGCGTATAACAATGAGGTATTTGGAATCCTTGAAGAAAAAGTAATGGGATGCCTTAGTGGCCTAGTGGCACACAGTCAGAATTTGGTTTTTAGTCTATGTCATCTGACTTCCCGGATCAACAGAGTCAGGGAGTGTTTAGAAACATTTTGGGGTTATGAGGAAGGAGTCTCATTTTTCTTCTCAGAAGATGGGCTATATATATATATATATACACACACACACACTATATATATATATAGTGTGTGTGTGTATATATATTATTCTTATACTTATTTGTGTTTCCATATGTTTGCTGTTCGTGTAATAAATAAAACCAGAACACTCTACATGGGAAATAAAGAAGAAAATATGATCAATCAAGTGTGGAGAAAATGATAACGTGAGGAAACCTGGTTAGAGTGCAGTCAAGGTCTACAAGAAAGCCTGTGATTAGCCTTCCAAAACTCAGCTAATGCCTCAGACAGCCTGACTGCGTGGGTCTGCTTACAGAAACAACATTAGATTTCAACCACAGTAGTTACTATAACCTCACTGTCAAGGAGTGACCTAAACCAGTTGAGAAACCCTTGATCTAAACAGAACCACTTGCTATAGCTGTTCTGGTCCTTCACTAGAGAGCACAGTAACTACCTCAAATAGTGCGGGTAAAGGAGCCATAAAGACACACAGAAATAGTTACGTTAGTAAAGCCTGGTATAAAAATAGATACAACTGTGCCAGAAGAACACAGCTTTAGTCAGCTTAACCTAGCTAATTTAGGACAGGAGGGAGGCAAGAATTTACTTCCAGGAGGGAAAAAAATCCACCCCCACCAAATCCTCTTTCTCTGACCTACCTACATAGCTGGAGACTCTGCTAAAGTGGCCATACTGGCATAAGTATAGTAGAAAAGGCCCTTCTGGAGCAGAAATATTTTTTGAGACACTTTTAGAGAAGCAAGAGTAAATAAACATGATGCATAAAATCAACAACCATGTCACAGTTGAGCATCTTTTAGTAGAAAGAAACAGAGCTGCAAGAGATTTTGAGCAGTCACCTAATCTGTCCTGGAGGAGCAGCCAAGCGTCAACCACTCCCGGTAAATGGTAACTGTTTGTCCATCTATTTCTTAAGAACATCCAGTGACAGAGATTCCGGCTGAAATACTGTGTTTATACTCTGCTATTTACCCACTCCTTCAATGATCAATTATTGTTTTTAAAATTCTTAAAAGTAGGAAACAGATGTCCATACCTAAAGGCTAAACCATACAAGGACAGATGTTTATGCTAAAATAGCATATCTGATAGGGGTACAGAAAGACATATGCAGTCTAGCAATAATCCACCCAGTTTTTATCAGTGAAGACGCAGCTTCAGCCACCTCTGCACTCTTTGCAGCGCAGACAAAGAAACAAATCAGCATAAGGAGGACACTCTTCCCTCTGCCCCCTTCCCCAAAGGGTTTAAGAGATCAGAGGATCAACTTATGATAGAAAGAAAAGAAAAAATAAGAGTAAAACACCGGGCATATGGAGGACCTTGTAAGTATAGGAGAAAGAGAAGCCTTGACGCAAGCAGAGAGCAGGAACTGAAAGAAGAGGTCATGTGGCTGTACAATGGGTGCTCTCAGAACAGGGAAGGGGAGCTGGGAGACACACGTAACCCCAACATCAGATTGCAAAAATGTGGAAGTCTACTGGGGTACATAAAGCATTATCTTGGAAAGCCATTGTCAGAAGAGGAAAGACCTCTGAAAATTGTTGGTTAGAAGAAAGATGGGGAGGGTATATTATGGGGTGGGAGATGGCATAACCATGCACCATGGACATGGTGTAGATTTGAGGAAAGAGGATTACAGAAAGCCCCTAATGTTGAAGTAGCAGACAGAGACCCTGGTTCCTTGCTGAAGCCCTGGGATACGCAGCCTGCAAAAGCTGCCAAGAGTGCACCTTCTAAATACATGGCAAGTCAGAGAAAGGAGTTCTGACCATTAACAGGGAAATGAGGACATTTAAAACAGCTTGAAGAGCAATGAGGAATAATATTTATCTCTGAGAATATTAGCACATAGAAAAGAAAAGGGAACATTTTTATTATCTCCTCATCTTTCTGTAACAGATTTTCAGGAGGAACAAAATGTACCCATAGCGTCATTGTTGTTAAAAACTTTGGCTGGAATAACAAGCAAGAATCTTATTTTCTTCTGCTTTTCCTTTGACACTTCACAAAGCTCTCCTACAACGAAGTCAAGTATACATGAATTTTTGCCATGGCAAAAATAATAAGCAGAGTTCATGACTTTGGCTTGTCTTTGTAAAGCAGTGGCACACAATATTTTAATATTAAAATGTTTTAATGTTAATGTTTATTTGAAAATTTTGAACAAGCTAGGTATTAAAAGAGGCTGTACCACCGGACAGCTCTTACACTATCATTAAGTCATTTAAAATTTCACACCCCCAGGCACAGTTTCACAGACACGAGAAACTATCCTAGGCGGTTCTGGCACTGGGAAAAAAGCTCCCTCTCCATTTAGGCAGAAGAGATCAAGCAGAACATTAATGGGCAGAAGCAGCTAGGTATACTGCAGCCATCTGAAAAGGAATAGGAGGCTGGTGGAGTGGGAAGAAAAAAATCCCTAGGCATCCTGAGCTGCTTATCAATAAGGTCAAAGTTCCTTAGATACGGGGTTAAAGCCCATCACATAAATCCACAAGGTGGCTTTGGTGTGTCATCTAACTGCTCATCTAAAAAATAGCTCTTACAAAAAAGGGAAGTCATCCCTCCCTCCTCTTTTCTCTATTTGTTCTCATGATCCTGTCTGATGCTTCCCCTTTATCTGGCTAAGGCAAATCACTCTAGGGTTATAGAAGCGCTGCTGACAGCGGAAAGGAACACAGCATGCGTCCAGAGCTGAGCAACACCACCACCACTTTTTAGCTAAATTAAATTGGCTAAGTTCTGCTATCAAACCACACTCATGATATTAGGTTTAGGGTTTGAGGTTTTTTTAAACATTCAGTAAGCACTTTAACAGATATACAGCTTATTGCCATCATAACAACAAAATTAATCACACTTGTGCAGCTATGACTGCTTAACCATGTCATTCACCAGCATTTGAGATCAACAAATCCTTATGCATTGCTATATTCTTACACAAGCTTGGACACATTATGTTTTGCCTTTACTATCTCCCATTCGTTGATCGATATACAGCTTAAGTGGTATTGTCTTTTGAGATAGTTACTGTAAAAAACCCAAACATTAATACTTACAGTTCCGGGCCTTGTGAAGTCAATGCTGTGTGCTACACTTTGTCTCATCTGATTGCTAAACAAGCGAACACAAACACTTTGAAGATACTCTGGTGTGATCTAAAAATTAGGAAACATAAGGAGAGAACAGGATTACACAAAACTTATACTTTCTACCAGACAAGTGTTTCTATACCAAAGCTTGGATTTTTTGTTTTAAAGAGGGCAAGAAATCACACACCTGAGACTCATCGATGCAAGCACAAGGTATATACTGCAACTACAGTTCTGTTCAGAAATTAAGAAAACTGTAAACTCTTTTCATCTGGGAATAGTTACGCTATTCACAAGACTAACACTAAACACTTTCAGAGAGTCTAGAAGAAAAATGGAGTTTGTCACACCTGTGTTTGCATACAGATTTTCCTCAATCAAAAGGTAAGTTCTCCAACAGTACATATGAAGCAGTTTTGTGCTTTAGACTTAAGCAATGACATGCTGATGTTGTCTAGCTAAAGAGCAGAACCTACCCAACTCTCTTGTACAGCAGAGAGAATAAATATGAATGATACAGTACAGAACTTTGTGTTTCAATGCAAAACATCTCACTGGGTTTAGGTTTTTTGTTTTGGGAAATCTACATCACAGCAGAACTGCCAAATTTCATAAGTTACTAGCTTCCCCAGAACAGAGGTGAGAGGACTGCGATTATAGAAACAGGAATGGGGACACTTCTGATATTCTCAGACCTATAGCAAGACAACAAAACCCTTTAAATTCAAAATGCTGCAACTTGAACATGATTTTGTTCAGTACTCAAGTCCACTTTGGATTCAGAAATGACAGAAACCAAGATTCATAATGAAAGAGCACCCTCAGCTGGACACGATTGGGAAGGATCAGATGACTGTGCAGAACAAGGCTTACAAGGGAAATGAAACAAGCATCCGCAACAGAAGATATCTAGTGCCTGGTTCCTCCGCCACAGAAGGTAAGAGGATATCACCTTGGAGAGCACTGACGTGTGAAATGGGAGGCAGCAAATGAATGACTCTGTGTTTCTTATTGTTATCAAAGCTCATGTGAGCAGATACCTTTTCTCATCTGCTGCAAAGTAAAATCCACACCTACAGGCAAATTCTTCCCTGCAGTAACGATGTGAGCAGACAGTGATCCCAGATGTAAAGTAACAAACTACAAGACATTCACACTGACAGGAGGAAGGTACATACTGACTTATCAGCAGGCAGAACAGGAGCTCCTAGGTCGTTCTCCCTGCTAACGATTCACAGCTCCATTAAAAGCATCTAGAGGCCACTAACATCTGCCATAAGAATAATCTTCAGCTTATACAGAAGTTACAGTGCAGAGGCATGCTTGCAGAGAAGAGGGCACAAAAGATGAAGCATAAAATCATCTTTGTATGAAAAAATACCCGTAAGAAAGTTGTATCTTCTCCAGTCACATACGTGCGGCCCATTTCACACAGTGAACATCTCATTCACTCTTTGCCCAGTTCCCTTTACCAATTAAATTAACAAGTTCAGCTTAGCAGAATAAAAAGCAAAGCTTTTTTTTTTTCCCACCACAAAAAGCAAAGCTTTTTGTCACCAAAATTTTGGATGAGAAGATTGTTTCCACCACAGTGTAACTTAAAGCAGACCTGGCAGCCGTTTTAAATATACAACCACCTGTGATGGGCTGGATTGCAGTAAATAGTCACAGTAATGCCCTCTAACCACTGCTGATGCCAAAACTCAAAAGGGGACTCTCACACGAGATCTGAGATATCTTGTGAGATGGTGATCGTTTTTTCAAGATTTCAAGATTCAACCTATCTCCTGCACTACCTTTATCCTAGTACACAGGGGCAACGGAAGAATCTCTTATCCCAAGTGCTGTGTCTCATTAGTAAAGAGACACAGTACTTACAGAAATGCTCATAACTGCGATGCTTAATTCACGTTTTAGTGGCATTCTCTCTCCATTTTCTTGGGGGTGGGGGAAGCAAATACACATCTGAGTCATCTCTTACCATCTTGCCATTGACTGTGGCCTCCAAGGAATCCACCAGTTCTGCAGTGACTCCAATGAGATTATGGTAGTCTGCTTGCATTTTGTTAAATCGTTTCAGGTAGGTCATGGTCCTGTGCTCAGATTCCACTAACTGTTGATGAAGATGTTGCAACATTTCTGTCAAGAGAATAACAAAAAAGAAATAACATCACCTTTTCAACCAAAAGGACAAAAGAACCCGCAAGCATTTTTACTGCTCTGAAGGGACAACTTCAACTGCTGCTGTGGAATTACTTTTATCCACGGGGTGAAATTTCACTGTAAGGACAATTCCACACTACTAGTGTGATTTCATTTCGTTGCAACAGCTACAAGTATTTATTTTGCTTCATTGCCCAAAGAACCAATTGCTACAGCAGCAAATTAGGCAGTAAACATCACTGAATACATTTTTGAAGAGGATAGTGTTTTAAAGGCCTGTTAATACAGGAAGTTCCATGCTATCAGAGACAAAACAAGGCTGCGGGAGTCGAATCAGGAGAACATATGACAAAATGCAGCTCTGACTTGGTTAACTGAACTTGCTACCTTCAGATTAGATTCATGCACTATCTTCCACATTCGCTAAAGTAACAGTGGCTAAAAAACAGTATCACACAGAGCAACTCAAAAGGTCAAGCTGCCACTTCAAAGATAAAACAACAGAACAGGAAAATGACAGTACCCAGAGATTCCTGCCAGCGTCTGTTAAATTACACTGTAAGGTTGGGTGTTTTCTCCAGTTAATTTATAGAAATAGACCACTGAAACAGGTTATGTAGTGCTTTACTTATTTAAAAAAAAATACTAAGTGTTCTGTCTTTCAAGAAAAATGGTACAATTCACAGAGAAAAAAAGACCCAACATTCAAGTTATCCAGTTCCTCACCTGCTATTAAAATAGTCACTGAATTCTCCAAAGTTGCAAGGAATTCTCTACTTCATTCTCTACTTCTACACAAAATTTTTCAGGTGATTCCATCACTTACTGCTTGATGGTAAACTATATTAGTTACTTTTAGTACCTTCAGTTTCTGAAAATAACTCCAATTCTTCTTTTATTTCTGTCTAAATTTAAAAAAAGTTGCACTCCTGCTACATTTTGTTCCTTTGGGTTCAATTACTTTAAAGATGAAAGCAGCAAACTAAGCACCAAAATCCGTATCCTCCATCCCAGTCTCAGACCTAGCCAAATTAGCATGCTACATGGAAGTCGGGCATAGAATCTGGAACTGCATACTGCAGTGCACATCTTCATGACTGGACAAAACTATGAAGGGAGGCACAATAATTCTACTGTTACTGCTGATGTTTATGTATATTGCCAGAACACTATGTTTTAAATTAGTTTGCTGAGAAGCCAGTATTGGTCTAGCGTTGTGAAAATGGCATTGCGCCCATCTGCAAACAGACTGAACATTTACCATAGGACTTACTGTTAAACAATGGGCAGAAATCAGCTTGACTACAGAGTTTCAGACAGAAGTCAGAAGTCTGGAGATCATCTAGTCCAACCCCCAGAGGTCCCTTTCAACCCTGACCATTCTGTGAAGTAGGATTTATTTTCACAGATTTCAAAAAAAATTGGATTAGAGTAGAGCGTTCCAAACAACTCAATATGACACAGTTTAGGTCCAAACAGACCCACAGGGAAGAAAAACAAAGTAAGTAGATAAGATGCAAAATTGGAAACCAGAAAAGCCAGTTCCTATTCCTGGATTTGAACAGACTTAGCCGACAATCTTTGAGGAAACCTTAACCCTCTTTCATGATTCACTGTCTCTTTCCCTAAAGATTGTACGTTCCTGTAACACAGAAGCCTTGGGAAATATAACTTACGTAAGTAGAAATCATCAGGTTCTTCATTAGGAGAATCCTAAGCAGTACAAAATTTCACCGCACAGTTATGCTCTGTGTTTAAAAAAAGCTCAGCATACACAACTGGTCTGGCTGAGCACTAAGGTAATACCTTGCAGCTATGATAAACAAGCTCTGGAGAATTTAAGTGTAGTTATTTAAAAACTGTCCTTTGCCATTTGCTCCCCTGCTCTCTGAACTCAGGCATGAGCCTCTGCTGTCCCACTGCCACTGGCACAGGGGCGGTAATCTACAGCAGAGGGAAAAAATGGGGAGTGAAAGTGCTGTATCAGCACCACAACTTATCTGGTAGAGCCTTCACAAGTCTTCTACAATGGCGATCTAGATACATTGCAGGTAGCAATGTATTAATCGTGCACAAATATCTGCCAAACAGCTTCCAACAAATGGCTTCAAAAAGCAATAAACGTGGCTATAAGAGATGCAAAACTGCCAGAAAAATACTATTCAAATAGAAGTGTTCGTAAAGTTTTCATTACAAGTGAAAAACATCAAAGTCATTAGATAGTTCTATGAATTCAGATGTTAGAAATTGCTTTAAAAACTTGTGACATCTTATGGATTTTTAGAGTTTTTGAAATATGCTGCCTTCATATCATTTATATGAAAAGCAGTAGGTGGCAGAACAGCTTATTTTTACTTTCAGAAAATTTAGAAAAATTATCTTTGTAATGAGATTTTTTAGAGAAAATGTGGATTAATAGACTTTAGCTATAAACTGACAGTCTAAAATAAAGCATGGAATACAGGGAGGTACATTCTAATCTGTATTTTTTCAAAATTTATGAGTAAAGGAAAAAAAACAAGACAGTTGCTTTACTTTCACAGCCTCTTCCCCTCTAAGAATGGCTGCTTTCTCAGAATCATTCATGAATCACAGCATCGTGCACCTGCAGAATTTGAGTGACACCTAATATCAAACTGCAAATCAAGCCAACTTTATATTTTTCTTATACTTTCTAGAAGGGAGCCTGAACTTCTGTGAAATAACAATAGAAGCCACAGAACTTGTTCAAATCCAGCAAAATACACTTAAAAAAAAAAAACGAACACTAGAACAGCTCCCAGTAACACTAAATAATCTTGCTGAGAGCACCAAAATTTTACAGATCTTTAAGCTGTTAAAACCATCTCAACCGCAATCAATTCATCAACTTAAAAATCAGAAGAGTTAAAATAGCCCCCAAAGACAATCCAAATTATTCTTCCTTGATAATAATCATTCAACTTTGATTTTATTTTTATTGCACAGCCATCACTGCTAAACTGCTACCACAGCTTTAATATGAGACAGCTCCAAAACAAGAATATTTTTCTGAACTAATAAAGATTCTGAGAGCAACCACTGCACAAAACTCGCCACTTTTCAGCACTTTATTCTTTTGCTTAGATGAGCAAATTGGAATACATTTTTATTTAACTGTCATACAACACATTTGATTCAGAAATTTCCAGAGGACGTATCTAGAGCGTGACTTTCACTCAAAGGAAAGTTGGAAGCACCAAGTCATGAAACATAAACCTATTCATAATTTGCTTGCTTTTCGTAGCCCAGTGGCAAAAATTTCCAGTGATGAAAATTTTTATTCCAACTACAAATCAGCGGGAAAAACTACATAACCAAAACTCAATATAGCTCATGAATACTAATCTTGGCAATTAAGAATCTGGGTCCAATTTACTTTTTGCCTGTTAAAGCCAGGGATTATCAATTAAACACTGGTCTTTACTGAGAAAAGAGAGTCAAAGAGAAGAACCACAAAGTCTTGACATAACTTGCATTTTTTATATCGCTATCTTCTCACACATAAGTAATTCTACTAAAAATGGAAAAATATTTCATCAAGTTTTTCTTACCAAGATGGCAGGAAGCTTTCATCATCGACACACAGCTGACCCAAGTACAGACAGCTGTTGGAAGAGCTGGTCCTGCACTGGCCCATTCTCCCTTTGCATTACTGCCATATTGCCATAACCAGTAACATCATTTGTGCAGATAAGATCAGGGAACTACCAGTCCAGGTAAAAATTAGTATTCAGTTGCTTGTTTAAAATGTTAAATCATTCCCACCTGAATCAGGATAGGGGAGAAGGAAAGAGTGCCTTTCAGAGGCGGTTCCCATTTAAGTCGCCTCGCAGCACGAATCAAACTGCACCCGCATTAGTGAGCAGAGAGTAACACAACACATTTGGCTTCTCTCTTTCCCTCTCCCAGACACAACTTTCAACACTGACAAATGCTTTCTACATATGATAAGCTTACAGAGGAGGGGGGAAAAAGCTCTGGACCTAATACCTACCAAAACCATTATTCATCTGTGGAAGAAAAGAAGGGAAAATAAAGGACAGAGGACTAACCTCCTAGTTAGGAAGATACAGCATACAGTAAAGCTTGTGACTCTGCCAAATGATGATGTTGGCATGAGGCATCACCTGAACTACTGCATGTTTCTACCAGTATTCTTGCCTGCTTTCTCACATATGTAATTGTCAAGTATTTTTAATGTTTTTCACTCTAGTTCCTGTGAGCAGCCAAGGCATTACATATAATATATAAACATAATTCCACAATAAGCTTTTCTCTCTAAGCGACAGATTGGTCATTATCGTTTATGACAACTTACCTAGACCTCAAACATGTTTCCTGAACTTGTGCTTGCTCTCTCTGTTTCTCTAATCTCAGCCGACCCTCACATACCTTGCTAGAAGCATCAGCTCTGGCCAGGTCAAAATCCTGCATACCATGCAGCAGAACTCTCAGTAGATGAGTTAGAGGTCCCAAGAGCTGCTGTCAGACACCAGGGGTCCTTAGGTGACACCAAAACCTTGCTCTTAGAAGAGGCAGTAGTTGCCCTGTCTCCTTGCTTACCTCATTTCCATAAAAATGACTATCCACATTTTAAACGGACATCTTTCCACATTAATAGTCATTCAGACTATAGCAAATCTTGACAAGCAGGTAGGTCACACTTGACCTTCTTTTGTGCAGCAGCCTGACACACTTCCTCCACTCCCTCTTTCCCCGAAATGGTGGAAGAGTGACTGTGAACTCATCCACAGATTTGTAACGAGGCAGTGAGAGGGACAGTAGCTGAACACACTTCCAAATACTTCATTCCTTCCGTTTCTGTTAGCACAGAGGACACACAAAAGGTCTGAAGCTCTCTGTGCAAGATGCCAACCATTCTGCAATTCTTCTCTTTCCAGCCAAACTGAAAACATATGGGAGAGCTGCAAGTTAAGCAGAACTGCCACGCAGATGGCTTTGAAAGTCATACAGGTATTAAAGTTTTTTAGCAAATGGATAAAAAGCCAGACTGTAGCAGGTTAATCAGGAAAGGTAAACACACTAAACTCTACAGGACACCCTCAAGAGCATACGTACCACCCCACCCAAACTTGAAGTGCTTCAGTATGTCAGACTAATGATTGTCAACTATTTACACAAGGCTGTTTTCAAGACTCTTTGCCATACTGGTCTTCATTCATGTGTTGCCTATTAATTTTCTTTGCGTTTCTCCTTCACTGATAAAGTAAATATTCTCCAACAGTGAGTATGTACTGTGGACACATGTGATCTGAACAGCATACTGCAAAAATAACGCCTCAGATCCAAAACTTCCCTATGAGAGAGGCCTCAAGTAACCTTTATGAAAAATCCAAACTGACTCAACCTCCAAGACACGTAACAGGTCTACAAATCAAGGCTGACCCACAGGCATTCAAAACCATGACAGTGCCTATACTTGTACAAAGCACAGAACCTGTCCAAATAAAAAAAGAATTAGGCCCAAAATAATTCAGGGCCGATCATGTAGTTATTTCTTTTTAATAAGAGTATGGAATTCTTGCCTTCAGGAAAGTCCACGACCAAGAAAAAGAGTAACTTCTGGAAAATAAAAAACCACAAAGATCTTTCTATTATTCAATGAAAGTCAAATGCAACACAAAGCACAAAATAACAAAGAAAATACCTGGAATTCACAGTAGGAGATGAGCCTAACTTTCTCTTTAATTCAATCTATAAATAGTAAGTCCTTAGTGTAAAATTACAGAGGAAAAGTCATTTTAGGAACCCAGCTGGGCTCATACAAATCCCTACCAATAAAATGAACACAGAAAGTCAAGGGAAAAAATTAATGCAAGGGAGTTGGGAACCTACGTTCTATTTATGGAACTGATTTTTAAAAGGTACATATTTCAAGTACCATCATCATCTAATGGGATTCAGTGCTGAAATTATTATTTTTTAAAGGACCCCAAGGCACTTAAGTGTGTATGAAGAGCCTACCTAGAAATGCAACACAGAGAGTCATACTTAAATTAACGTGTTCTTATTCGAGAGATACCAATATGCAGTAATTTAGGAGTTTAAACAGGATGAGTGAATAGGAACAAAATCAACTTTGTCTAAGATCAGAGAGTCATCAGAACAACTGAATGAGATTTGAAATCTGGAAGACGCAGATAGGCATAAGCAGGTATGGGAGAGGAATCTGAGGAAACTTACTTTCATCACAACTAAAAATGGAGAGCTGGTATGCACTTTGTAAAGACTTCTCTACTTGTTTTTACCATATTTCAGGACAGAATAGACTTAAAATATGAATCCTACTACTAGGCCTCCTCCCATTTCTAGTACATGCCTATGCTCAACCCTACTGACCTCAAGCAGTCTAGCAATAACTATCACCAAGACAGGGGTCTGGATTTCAAAGGACTTTTTGCAATGCATCACTAGTTTCACCATCATTGCAGGTGTATTTCCACTACTATTATAGTCCCTAATGATCTTACAGAATATCCTTACCACATCTCAGCATTTACCTTTGTTGCACTGTCCATTCTCCTTCTGTTGTACAAGTAGAAGCAGTTCAGGAAAATGTGCATCCTTTCAATACGTGTTTGTTCCAAAGGCACAGAATGAGAAACTCAACCAACTGGCAAACCCAACCACGTCAAATATTCCTGCTGTCCCAGGCAATAGCCAATGACTGATGCTCCACAGGAGAGCAAGAATAAATGAATTAATAATAAATACATTAAAAACTCGTAAGTGCACAATGTACAATGTTGCATGGAGAACTGAGACTTTCTGCTGAACTTTAAAGACACTAGATCTAGCTCTGAAGTATAAGATACAGTAACTCCAGTCTGTATTAACACCAAAATCAAAAGTCAAGCTGCTGATTTTACATAAAATCAACACACAAATATGCGAGTGTTTTAGGGCAAGTGATGTTTTATACCTAAGAAATATTCAGGGCTCAATTAGGATCCAGTTCATCACTCCATAAAGAGGAATAAGCAGAGAGAAGATTTTCTTCAACTGTTCTATGTGAGACTCCCACACAAACATCCGCAAAATGGGAGTGAAAGCAGTGTATTGATCACTGCTCCCCATCCTGGCAAATGGGCAGGAATGGAACAGAAGGAATATAATTTCTGGTTCATCATTCAGTACCACCATGGCAGCATGCTTCTTTAGAACAAAGTAAAATATAGTGGGAGAAGGACCTTCAACTTCTGTTAAAATAAAAGCAGGCTCCAGTTTAGTTCTCTATACCTTATCTTTAACTGTACTGACAAAAATGGAGAAGATAATTTGTCATATAGCTAGTTAGTTTGCAAATTAGGTCTGACAACACAGCTTAAATAATATTGTTAGAAAAACAATACAGTCTGAAGGGCAAGCCATTTAGTAAAACAATAATTTCTGGAACTCCTGAAGCCCTGGAAAACTTTCAGTTAGTCCATGAAATGGCTAATTGAAAAGACTAACAGCTTTACAAATGCTAAGACAGAAGTCAGGTCAGTGCCTTGGGATTTCCTGTACTTTATATATGGAAGCCAGGAATGGTCATACAATAAACATGGAGCTTCATATGTATCTATACATTGTCTTTACATAACTTTTTCCAAAGTTTTTTTGAATGTGGAACATAAACAATGTTTCCTATCGTAAAAACACTGAACTGCAACATTACTGCAATTGTGCAATAAATCTTAGCAGCACACTCTTCCAATAAATTATACTACCTCTTTATAGTAATTCTAATTATCTTCATAGTGTTTTCTCAAAAGGATACAAATAAAGTGAGAAGCTGGGGAGTCTGTCTGGCTTTGAGAGTCAGAGACAGGAACCTTTCCAATCTTGTCCTTAAATCCAATGTCCAAGAATCCTTGAAAAAAAAAAAAACACAAATGATGACAGCTGTTCACCAAATATGTACACTCTGCTGAAAGTACCGTTTAGATCACAGCAACCTTCTACTAGTAAAGAAGGCAGCCAGCATTGTATTGAAAAGATTTTCCCTTCACTGTAGTGAATGCGTTTGCTAGCTACCCATAAAAGTGTGCAGAAATTAGAAGAGTTCAGTATTAATCCTAGACAAGAGTTCTAACAACAAAACATAGCTTCAAGTGTAAAACTATCATATACTGTTGGTGCCTCGTATGCACATGCAACAACTACACCTAAATTAGAAGTACCTTTAAAATATAAGCAACTTGAGAAAAATATAAAAATATTAATATGAATTTTAAATTTATTGAATACAATCTGAAATGAATAATCTTCCATTGCTCAGTTTTCAAAAAGTAATCACTGCAGTCATCTTTCACTCCTAACAAGATCTAGAAATTGTAAATTTTGTCAATAAGTATTGCAAGTGTCATGGCATGACATCAGTAATCAGGGTACAACATTTCTAAAATAAGAATTTGGAGAGAAACAACTTGTGTATGAAAAATAGACCAACACATCAGCCACAAACTGGCATGCTGTCTTCTGCCTGATGTAGCGTCTCGTGAGCACAAGAAAATAATAGTTAAGGAAAAAGCCAAACTATACCAAAGAATTCACTGAATACTCATTTCTCCTATCTCAAACCTTCGGTTAAGCTAGTTTCTGTTTGATGAAAAGCTAGCCAACAGATGAAAAAGCAGTATCTTCCAACAAGTAGCAGGAGCTTCCCAAATTTACTGCTGTATATGTCTATGTTGCAAGCTGTTCTCGCAGCTCAGATTTGCCCTTATTTCACCATGCTGGAGAGCGTACAGAATTTACTTGCTGCATTTACCAATTCAGTATCCAGACAGTGGTGCACCACAGCGTGCTGTATATTACCAAAGGAACCATGTCTCCTACAGGGAGGAGTATATATTATTTTTCAAGATCTATTACACAAACAGACAGGAACTCCAGCTATATAAAGCATCAGACGCCTGAGAAAAAAAAAAATGCCGTAAGAACACTGCTTAGTAGACTAGTGACTCACTTGCTGTTCTTTCTCAAACGTAAAACAATCTGTGTTTCAACACTAACATGGAATGAGCTGTACAATTCCCACAAGAAAATACGCGTGACTGTGGACTAAGAGCTTGGACACTGGGTTACTATGAATAAACCTGAGGAACTCCTCTTAGATAAGGCATAAAAAAAAAAAAAGCCGCCAAGTATAATTAAAAAAGAGTAGTGATATCGCATCTCTGAGGTCAACCAGTACATCTCATTATTTATAGCTAGTCCCAAAGGAAAATGGCAGTATATGCCTTTTTTTGGTGTTAAACTAGAGCTTCTTATCAGCTGGTACATCTAAAGTCAGCCCTAGGGCAAGTATCACTTAAGCTTTGATATCAAAAAGCATGCAGCAGCAATGCAGGCTGAAGATACCTCCTCCCACCACAATAACTGCCCACAGCTTCTTAGATAAACCAACTCAACTGCCCGTGTGGCAGGATGGTTAAGAATTTCAAGCATATAACCCTGCAAAATATTATACATATTTTACAAATTTGTTTACACATGTGTGCGTACGTGGGACCATTCACAAACAATAGAGCAGATCAGTTCCTTGATCCACTCCAAGAGCAACCACATAACCATCCATTTCCATCACAACCAAGAAGTTAAGGTACAGTTTTGCACTGCAGGAACAATCTGTCAGCCGGTGAAATGGTGGCTGTATCTTCCCCATAGGTATTGCCACCAATACTTTGCAACATCAAACCACAGCTCTGGACATCATCTCCTAACCATCGATCTCCACATTGCCCAGAAAGCAGTCAGTGTAAGTCAATTACCCCTTCATCAATAGAATAACTGTAGACATCATCACATTAAAAGTGCACCTGCAAATGAGATCTATTTTGAAGTTCAAGCACACTAACTTTTACACTCTGTTCTCACCTTGCACGTCCAAGCCTAAGAACTGAACTCTGAAACAGCCATTTAAAGGCAAAGGCTAAAACGTATTTAACAAAAAAAAAAATTAACTGGGAAAAATGACTGCGGCAAGAGTCACCAAACCACTAAGCACAGCTATGCTCTACATCAATGCTTTCCATCATTTTTTTTTGGGGGGGGGCAGGGGGTGAGGCATGGGGAAGAGTCTCAGAACACAGACAAGAGAGACTCATTTTCTGTTACAGGAAGATTACTCATAAACTTGACTTTCTCTTCTCCACATTCAATGAAACTGCTGCAGTCTCCCTATGCCTAGCTATCATGTTTTAAGTCCAGCTATATATATACACAGATAGCGGTGCTGGGCAACAACCTCAAAGCAAGTAAGCAGACTTGAACTACTATATAGTGATTCCCAGAAGCATGCATATTTCAGGGTTGTGTGGAAAGGAAGGAGAGGTAGCAATTCTTACTTATGGACACAAAGCCAGCGTCCTATTTAGGACTCAAGTAAATATAAAATATATTAAGATGGCGCTCTGTTATTGATAGCACTCTCACAACCCTTCCTGCATTAAATATTGTTCTTTCAGGATTGTATAGTTTCTGTTAGAGGAAACAATAAAAGCAATTACCAAACTACACATCATTCAATGTCTATCACCACATGAGAAAAATCTCCACAAATACCATCTCTGCAAAATAGATACTTACCTGAAAAAGTTCTTTAAATGAAGGGTGTACCATGGGGTTTGGAACAAAAGGCAAAGCATAGAAGGGAAGAAACTCTGTAGTCTGGCTCAGCGCAGCTCCTTTTGTTTCCAGGTATGCCTTAAAGTGAGAAATCCTTTCCTCAAGTTCAGCTTTGTCCTAGGAAATAAATCAGCATATTTATTTTGAAAACTATCACTCTGAATGCACTGTAAAGATGGCAAACATAAGCAGAGACGTAAATACATTAATATCAAGTTTGAAATCCCAGAATGCTTGTTACCTAAAAAGCAACATTTATTTAACTAAAGCGCATTATATCCTGTTTTCACTGCTCAAAACAAAATTTAAACCGATGTTGTTATTTCTGTCATCCAGCTCCAACAAAAGAAGAGAGGAACAACTGCTTTTTCAACGTAAATTATTCCTGCCCACTTCAGGCCAGATTTCTAAAGCAGAGTGCCATTTCCATGCTCAAGGCAGAGAGGAAAGACCTACTTTAGACATACTTTATTTCAGTGATAAGTGCAGAACCATAAAATCCACCCACAGAGCACCAGGAAGGTGGGAAGGGGAGCTGGCACACAGAACAGACCAAAAGCTCCTTAGAGGCTGGAAAACAAACTGAAGGCATCAAAATACTCCTGTAGCAGCTGACAGGTGTAAGGCAGGAGCTATTAAGCCCTGGCTGATCCAGCTGACTTCAGGCTACTTAAATGTCTCTTCATCATACAAGTCCTATGTAACAGAGATTTTATTTTATGACAGCTTGGAATTGTCTTCAATATGATATACTGAGCTCGTCAGTTTTTCAGCTGGTCTGATTTTATCAGAAATGTTTATATTTCAACACACAGCTTCAATCCAAATTGGAAGCAAAATAAGTGTTTTAAGAATCTCCTCTAGACTACAATTAGAGGTGTGAAAGTATCAGCATGCTGGTATTTTCAAAATTAAAATATTTCAGGGGCTCCAAGATAAGGACACCTCCAAATTCCATCTGTGTACTTTACAATACACAGGGTCTGGTTCAACTAAAATGGAGACTGTGGCCGAAAAACTGGATACGTATACTGGTAATTCTTCTTACTAAATATTCCATCCTCATACACACTAAAGACAAATAAATGAAGCAAAACAAACAAAAGCAATTTGAAGTTTGAACTGTGAACTAAACTTACAGGCTTTCCCATAGAGTGTTTTAAGAGGTAGATGGCAAAGTGGACATGAAGATAGAATTCCAGCTTCTGAGCAACCGGTTCATTGTCCCGGACTGAAGATGAAACATGCTCTTCCCAGAGCTGGAAGAAAACTTCCTGCTCACCATTTTCAAATGCTGTAAGCAGATCTTTCTGCAAAGAGGAAAAACACTCAGTGAAAAACCAAACACAGAAGAGCCCCATTTTCTCAACAGTAAATTAATGAATGAAGAATTTAAGTGTGATCTGAACACTTTGAAATAAAAGTTTTATGCAAAATCTCTCACCATTCCATGACCACCTAAATATTCTTTCTCTACCTATCTTTATTATCTTTAAGAACCTGAATCAACCATCAATACAAGAAGTACAGCCCAAATTTTCAAGCATGTTGATCTAGAGACCCACCTTTACCATAAAGGAAAAATAAATGCCTACAGTGTGTAAAAATCAGTCTTATCAAAGTATGGCAAGCAACAAGGCCAAAATAGTGTGAACCAAAACTATTGTCTCAGGTTCAAAAGGACTGGAGCTCTGCAAAAAAACCAACCAAACAAACCTGAAAGGTTCTTGCACTGAAAGAAGACTGCTAGCAGACGTCAAATAATCAAGAATCTATTCAGACAGTTCAGATAATCTCACTGCTGTAATAATTCACGTGGTGGTCAGCGGCCTTTGACTGTTTTTAGTATTACTTGAAGTAAATATAAACAATGCATTACCTGAACAGGCAAAGCTTTTGAATTTCTTGAGGAAACACCTGCTGGCTTAGGTAGTGGCTTCCCTTTTATTTTACATTCCTTTGTAAATACTTTCACTGTTTCTTCAAATTCAGCAAAATCCAAATACTACAAGACAAAAACATACAGGAACAACGGTTTTTTAGATTATTAATGATTTAATGAGTGACCCATGAATAGCCAAAGTCCTTTAAAGTTTCCTTGTGTCAGGGTCCATAAATGCCAAAGACTGCACAGCAACAAACCAAGAACCAGTACCTCTTGAGGTACTGCCAAACTACTGCCCAACATTGCCACAGAGAACAAGAATTGTTTACTTTCTTCACTATTATCATAACAGTAGTATAGTAATGATTATGTACTTAAAGCTGTTTTATAGATTTGTTTTCTGAGATCCATAAAAAAAATTTAAGTTACACATGATTCTGCCATTCAGCAGACTCTTGAGGCAGAAAGTGACTGTCCATGCCTGCAACAGACAGCCTGGTGAAAGCTGGGCACAGAAACGGCTGACTGCTGCTCCTCATCACCTCTCTGCAGCACTGGCATCTGTAGAAGACTTCAGTATGTTGGGGCACACAAGACAGATGGGTTAGGTTGCTGGTTTGGTGTTCACCGAGGGCCCTAAACTAAGCTACCAACACTGTGTCAATCAAAAGAATGAAGCAGCAACAAACAGCAGAGATCACAGTTTGTGTTCTTGTTCCAAATCATAAGTATCCCATTTTAGCCAATTTATCCAGAAGGCTGAAGCACAGACTACTAGAGAGACACCCACCCTTGAAAGTTTCTCTCTCATTGTCTTTTTCAGAGGACTTTTTCACACTTTAGAATATGTTCTGATTACCTCTTATGGGCAATAAGGGTAGAAGAGAGCTTACCTGGAAAATCCTGCTTAGGCCATGGAAATAAGCATGCTCAGGACTTCAGCCTGGGCTTTGTCAGGTCTAGGGGTTTTATATGCCTCTGTCATTTTATACACACATGGAATTCAGTGGCAGCTAAGGAACGTTTTTAAGATCTCATTATTATCACAGGTTAGATCTGAGCCCCAAAGCTGTCTGTGGATCTAATCAACTCAACTGTTCCTATAACAAAAGCCCCATTTGCAATGAATAATAGACAATTCTAGATTGATTTGATGTATGACTGCTGGCATTTAACAGACATTGAGCCCTTTGAATTTACAGAGCAAAACAGGAGTCAATATGATTTCAGGGTGTAACAAACACTTGTCCAGTTAAATAACTCCAGAATTTAGACCACAGTTACAACACCTGGCTCTGAATACAAGCATGAAATTTTGACTTGCTCATTTCAACCAAAAAAAAAAAAAAAAAGGAAAAAAAGAGAGAAAACCAACCTCTCTCACTAGTCCGAGTAATTCAGCTTCATAAGCTAGAACATCACCCATTGCTAAGCACTACTGGTATGTCTCATCGTCGATAAACCTAGGAAATTGTAAAGAAGAGGGGTGTTAGCAGACAGCACACCAGTTCACGCAGCCCCGAGCAGCCCAGCCACCCACAGCCCATCAGCCATCTCATCTCCAAACAAACCGCATGAAGAACATATCCCCAGCTCGTAAGGCACCTCCCAAGAAGTTCCGAAGCCGGTCCTCCCCCACCCGACTCGCTGTTCTCGCCAGGCGGCGGGGCGGTCACACCGGCGCTTGAA